GATCTCTGGCTGCTGCTGATGTTGCTGTTGCTATTGCTGTTGCTATTGCTGTTGCTATTGCTGTTACTGTTGCTGTTGATGTTGCTGTTGCTGTTGCTTTTGCTGTTGATGTTGCTGATGCTGATGCTGATGCTGTCGCTGATGCTATTGTTATTAGTGTTGCTGTTGTTGCTGCTACCGTTGCTTATGCTAATGCTGATGTTGCTGCTTTGTCCGAATACGTCGATAATCGCAAGGAAATTCACGATTGATCGTCCTATAGGCGCTTACTCTCCGCACTCTTGCTCTCCCTCGTGTACACCACCACCATTCACTACATCCCTTTGTTCCTGTATCTTGATATCGTACCCGATAACATTAGGTCTTTTGTTTCTTTCATCGAGTCGTCCTTCTCGGCCATGTACAAACATACGATCTTTCATGGGATCTCTTTTTGTATTTCCCCCTTTTCATCATTGATAGCACTTTGCATGTTTCTCTTTTCTCAACGACGCAAACTCGTTCTTTAACGTCTTGTCGCATGGCTATCGATCAAGTGAATACGCGGGGTGTGGGGTGTGAGGCATCGTGCGCGCGTACGAGAAAGAGAGAAAGACCGAAACAGACGATGAGAAAGAGGGAATAACGTTTTGTGTTTTCGCGTGTGTGTGTGTGCGCGCGCGCGTGCATGTGGGAAGCTTGTGCGGCGAATTTAAAATTTTCCCACACCACGCGCGCGTCCGCTTCTAATCATTCGCTCGATATTTGTAAATTGGATTGAGCGCTCAACTAGAGGAGAGTCGTGGAGTGGGTGTAAGACGTAGCGGTTGTGTATATTGGATCAAAAGTAATGGAGGTGGCTTATACCTTCAAATTTAAAGGGTTATCGGGATTTTTGTGAGTGGAGTAACGAAACGAGCCGTGATTAAAAAAATAAATGATATTTCTTAGGAATGGGAATTTCTGTAATTTTTCATAGAAATGCGTTGATTGTTTTACAATGAATGAACATCGGAATTGTTAGTACTACTCTCTTGTTTCAATTTTCATTTTGGCAGGTATTCATCCCATTCGAACGCGAGTTCTGAGTGGAGTAACGAAACGAGCCGTGATTAAAAAAATAAATGATATTTCTTAGGAATGGGAATTTCTGTAATTTTTCATAGAAATGCGTTGATTGTTTTACAATGAATGAACATCGGAATTGTTAGTACTACTCTCTTGTTTCAATTTTCATTTTGGCAGGTATTCATCCCATTCGAACGCGAGTTCTTTCAATATTTTATTATTATTATTATTATTATTATTATTATTATTTTTGTTTGATTTTTTTTTGTGTAAATAATCAATAAACGATTTATTTCGATCGGTCAAATCATTTTCTGTATCTTTCATATATTATAATAATCTTGCCTATTAATATTTTGTATGCATTATGTACATGTTTGATATTATACAAATGTTTATAAAGCAGGTAATGCAAAACATTAAAAATAAAATTCAATATATAAATGTTTACCAGTGCATTGCTGGAATTTAAGAAGGGGGAAGAAAAATTGAAAAAAAACTACATTTTTTAATTGCAATCCAAGAAAATGTATGCAAATGAAACTGTACTCAACCAATCGATTTAGAAATATTTAAAAAACCTTTCCCTTGTTATGTGATTTAATTTTTATTAATTGCTATTATAATAGACTGGATTGAAATCAATATTTTTAATCCGCATCACCTTATGAAACGACAACTATTTATCAAATAGTTATTTTTTATTTAAATACAGAAAGTTACGCTGCTATAAAATGTAAAGGATGATTTCTTCTTGATAGAACTGTGTCTTAATATTAACTTTGGAGTATTAAAGGCCACGGTGTAGGTAATCTATAAATATCTGTGCACAATGATGTTATCCAATGTCCAAGTACATTGTTTTTATAAATTCTTATCTACTTAATAGAGAAACAATGATATGTAAAAATATTTAACAAAATCCTCAACCGAATCCTTAATTACATTATTTTTCGTGATTAATCAGAGCTCATCCCGCGCAGTTGTATTTAATGTTCTATCGATTTCATTCCATTCGTTTTATCGATCAGATTCTATCTTTAGAAATCATTGGCTATTTTATATAATTCTAATTCAAATCCAATATCCATGTCGTAAAACTGGCATTCGAGATAGATCGACAAATTTGTACAATAGTGCGTTTTAGTAAGCAATAAAAATATGGTATATCGAAGTACAATATATTCTCTCTTTTAATATAATTAAATTTGGCCGAACACGGTGGAGACCGCCGCTTCATCAAAGCCCTTGGAATTATTATAGCCAGATGAGAGCGGCGTATAGAAAAATAAAAGCCATTGTAGTTGTTGGATCATTGGAGCTAGACGAATTCGAGAGATAGTGGAAGGGCGAAAATGCATGACCTTAGTGGGAGGTGGTGAGATTGATCGGAGTGAAATAAGCAGTCGATATTGTACGATACTACGGTACCAGGATGGATTATTCGACCCGACCTACGTATAACTATATTCCAGGCGATCCAATATCTTTTTATTTACGGATTTCCTCGCGCTGTTATCCTGCTTACGTTCGTATATTTAAGTGAATAATTTTTAGTCGAGTCTGAATATCGAAGTCGATGATATTTCAAATCAATTTGAAACAATTGTCTTTCATAATCGATGCGACCTAAAATCTCCAATTTTCTGTTCATTGCGTAGTTTCAATAAGTTATAAAAATCCAACAAAGATCCAAGAATATTTTTAATTATTATTTAAGTGGAACTAATCGAATACATAATGGATATATCCGTGATACGATGCGGGTACGCGCATACACTGGTACACACACGTATTTGTCGCTGTACATATTAGGACACTTTTGTATTTTACCATTCAAGCCCGCGCGCGCGCGCATACGTACGAGGTTTAAATGTATTATTTTCGTTCGACGTAATCACGTTAGATACTAGTGGGTGCTGATTCTTTGATGTACTGTGAGCTATTAGGGGATGTTGACGCGCACGACTCCCTTTTTCGTTATTATCGATCAGTTCGATATTTCGTCCTTTCTCTCTCTCTCTCTCTCTCTCTCTCTCTCTCTCTCTCTTAGTATAGACATCTTTCTGTTTTAGAAGTTGAAAAGGACTTGGAACATTAATTTTCCGAGACTAAACAATCGAATAAAAAGTTTTTTTTCGGTATTTCTTTATTACTATTATACCAAATGGTCATTACTTTTCTTTCTGTTATTAAAAATCATTTGAATATACATATTTTAATAAGTACTTTTACATTACAGCCTACACATTTATTTTTAATTCTTGTAGAATGGAAATTAGTTAATTTTATTATGTAAAATTTTTCATTATTTTTACCTACAGTATATTTACATTTATATTATATTATTTAGGAAGTCATGATAGTTAATTAATCGATTTAATAAAATATTCTTTTGAGAAGCTATAGTAAATATTCTTTTGTATTCGTATTTATTAAGGTTTCCTAGAATATTTTGCGTAATCTTTAAATCCCATAAATCACACAAAAATTGAATAATTATCTATAAATTTTTACATTTCTTTTGATTAGAACTTCATAAAGTATACTAAATGATAAAGACAGTTAATTTTTTTTAAGAAAAAAGAAGATTCTTTTTTAATTATATGTTATCTTTCGATTTTTTCAAAAATATACTTACATCTAATTTGGAACCCCCTCACCGCAAATTTCGTTACTTTACTACGAGGAAGTAAATGAACAAATCATTTTGAATAAAATAATCATATTCTAAGTAATATCGAAATGACAGATATAAGATTTGAGTCAAAGTAAAATATAGATTTTTATATTAATTTGATACATTTTGTAAGACTAAATAGTAATCTTAATGTATTTTAATGTAACTGAGGATATATAACAATCCATTTTCGAAAACAATAGTATTTTTTTCATATATAAGATTATTCAATTTATATTGAAAATTTTCAAATTGTTGATTTAACAACATAAAAATCATATAATGATTGCCAGTTTTTTCTTTTGTATAACAACTTTGAACGAATTTTTTTTTACAACTTTTTCCTTCATTTTTGAAACTTATGATGTCTACAAAGATTCGAGTAGATTTAAAAATATTTAAAAATATATATAAAAATATATATATAATTACAATGCTTTCACGAAAATATTTGTAAGTTAAAAAGCAACTACACAGACACGCGCGCGCGCGCGCGCGCACACACACACACCTATTACATTTTAAAGTGCGATTAAAGAGAAAAATAAAATGTCTTTATTCTTATAATTGTATTTAAAATAAATTTTGTCATGTGACAGTACTTTGATTAAAGTTTTAAGTAATGATTTATTGTAAAATCAATATTATTTTATCGTAAATTAATTAATAAACACTTTATAGTATTATTACAATTAGTTGGTCACCATATTGTTCAATTATAAAATATTATTAATTAGCTGTTGGAGGGGTGTTAAAAAAAAATGTAATGGATGTAGTAATACAATAATTGTTTTAGGATCAAATATTTCGTTTCTTGAAATAATTAACATTAATACAAATTAATAATTTTATATAGGCTTGGAAAATATTATTCATACATTTTAGTGAATTAATGTTATATTTCAATTTAAATTTAAGATAATTTCAAGGCGCTCTTAGCTATAAATAATAACCATTGATTTATTGAATAGTCGCGATAATTAATAAAAAAATTAACATATTTTTTTTTAAAAAAAGAAAATAAAATTATAATTTAGAGATAACATTAATATGTGTAATTTAAATATAGTATATTATGAAAAGAATAAAAGAAATTAATATATCAGCTTCAATTAATAATAAAATGTTTAAACGTGTATTTTATGAATTCTGTAAAAAAAAAAAAAAAATCTAATAAAATCATTAATGTCATTCTTTCGATCATTTATACTTAGATCTTATACACAATCAATATTTAATCTTAGATAATATTAAGATAGTAAGTTTACATATAATGTATAGTACAAAATATGCAGTTATAAAAGAAGATATAGAGTATGAGAGTATTTTTGTACTTTTGACAAGATTTTTAGATTAGTTTTGAATTTGGCTGATTTATAGTTATTTAGTTTATTTGACTTTAATAAATTTATATTTTCCAATAATATAATTAGTGTCTAACCAAATGTATATTCTTGCAGATATTGTTACAGAGAAAATAGGCATTCCCGCTTCGGAGAATTTCCAGCTGAAGTGGCATAGTTATGGAGCTCATCTTCATAGCTCCGTAGCAACGTTGCTGCATTCTGAGTCCTTTGCCGATGTTTTATTAGCTACATCTTGTGGGAGACATGTAGCAGCCCATAGATTTGTATTGGCTGCTTGTTCTTCGTATCTAAGTCACATTTTCCAAACATGCCACTTTGGCGCAAACACAAATGCTCCAATTATTGTTGTAAGTTAATATATACATATGCAAATTTAAATACATAACACACATAATCACGTCTTTTTAATTTCAACAAATAATTTTTGAAATTGGCTTTAATTATGTTATAATTAATAGTTTGAAATTGTTATTAATTTATAATTTTAGTCCATATTATCCCAGTGGTATAATTAATGTTTAATCAAATTTTTACTCGTGCAGATATTGCACAATGTCAGAAATAGAATACAGTGAATTCATTATATTTTAAGAAAAATTTTATAATTCATTTAATTATTGTTTACAACAGTAAATCATAGTACTATAATATATAATAAATTAAATATTTGATAACGTAATTTAATTGTTAGTTGTATATTTTAATTACGTTCTTTCAATAAGTCTATTTATTTTAAATATTTTGTTGCTTGAAAGACAAGTAAAAAATACAACAAATCTTTAAAAATTGAATAAATATACAATTTAAATAAACATAATGTTTATTCTTGTTATTAGTCAAATTAAATTTTTTTAATATTTTCAAATCTACTTTTAATATTTTATTTTATTGTAAATACCTAAATAAAGAAATTAAATCATACCGCTTATATACTTTTATAATGATACACATTCTTATGCTTGTAAATATTGTATTTATAAATTATTTTGTTTGCGAGTACTTATAATATTTGCAATTGTGAGCAATTTTAATCTTTTACTGAAATTACTTCAAGACTAAACAAATTTTTTACTTTCAAATGGTACATTTAATCTTTACTAGCAAATATTTTCTATTTTAGGTAATTTTTTTTAATAAATTTGAAATATTGAATTCCATACATTTTTATGCTTTGAGAATTATTTAAATTTATCCAATTAAATAAAAAGTTTTTTTAAGACTCTTAACAATGCCTTTATCAATAATATAAAGAATAATACAAATATGGCGAAATTAATATTTTTAACAAAAATTGCTCATATATCTTTATTATTTTCATTAATTAACAATTTCCAATAAAAATTTGGAATTTGATTACTTTGACTTTGTATTTACACTTTCAGATGCCTTTTATTCAAAGTACATAATGCTTTTTTTAATTTTTATAAACAAATTGAAGCTTCGATAATTAAAGTTATAAACAAAATAATAAAACTCGGCAAAAAGATGAAGTTTGAAATTGTAAGATAGAATTTGTAAGAGTTAAAAATTTATAATTAAAATGTTTTATTTATAATGTATAATAATGTTACTATAAAATCTAAATGTTATTGAATAATTCAACACCATTGAAAAATTGATTAAGTACTCACGGCCAGTAACTTTTAAAATTATTTAATCATTATTTAGTTTGAATAAAAAGAAACTTGAGTGAACAGAACATAATTTAATTATGCCACAATTAAAATCAATTTAATTATAATTATGAATCAATGCTATATACTTATTTGTATATATTTAATAATAGGTTTTACCAACGGAAATTGGATATCGAACGCTGAAAATTCTGATCCAATACATGTATAGTGGTGAGACAACCGTGACAAATGATCAACTTGAAGGTGTTTTAAAAGCAGGAGATATCCTACGGGTTCGAGGTCTGTGGCGATCCAACTCGGGCAGTAAGAAGGAGAACATTCAATCGAACAATCAAAAAGTTAATAGGGATAAGCGAGAGCAGCCCCCGTTAGCCGGTCAATTGCAAAAGATCAAACTCATTCAGCCAACTTCGGAGAAAATCGTCGAGCCTGTGCAACAGGCCGAATCGAGCTCCACCATTCAGAATTCCGTGCCGTCAGCTATTAAGACATATGAGAAAAAAAATGCAGCGAAAAATTTGTTGGATAAGGAAGATCAGAATGGCGAGTTGACAGATAGCAAAAAGTCCTTGGACGAAGGCAAAAGCAACGAACAAACGAAAAATAAGGAGAACGTTGAAGCGAACGGGAAAAAACGAAAAAATACGGGCAGTGATGCAGACTCAACTAAATCTAGGAGTGAAGCTGGAGATAGCGTTAGAACACTATTTTTTTATAATAATATTGATATGCAATTATTGATTTTTAATTAGTTGTTTATATTGCCTTGCAGACCGAATTGAATCTCGAAATGTTGGTAAAAGAAGAGCCGATTACTTGGGAAGAGACCATCGATCCATCTGATACGCTAACTATAGATCATGATATTGATATAAAACCTGTAAGTTAAGACATTTACTTATATATATATATATATATAATATTAATGGCTATATGAAAAAATTTTTTATAAAATTTTTAGTAATTTTAGCACGATTAATGAAGTTGTATCGAGAGTATTTATAAACTAAATGCAAATTTAGTTTAAGAATTTTAACAAATTTAATTTAAATAATTTTTATATTTAGTATAGTAATTTAATTTGGAAAATTGTAGATTTACTTTTACTTTCATTTTACAATTATTTCACAAGGCTTTATTATAAAAATATTATAAATATGTGATGTTTTACTATTATTTGTACATACAGTTTCTCTGTAGTTATGCATATTTATAATCTGCAGGAAATAGTGCATAGTGCTGATGAAGATGGTGAGATGGAAGAAGAAGAGTACACGCCTCTTACCTGTGACATGTGTAGTCAAACCTTTAATAGACCTTCCGATTGGGTAAGACACATAGAATTTACACATGCTGATATGACAGAAAATAGAAGAAGAAAACGAAAGGTAATGAAAATTTAAATAATTTCTAATACTTGCATTGTACATACGAATATCTCCAATTAAATTAAATTGATTGTCTTTTAGAATTTATTTAAAATTATATTTGTTAATCAATCATTTGTAAAATTTTTTATCTATAGGTGGATACTGTTGAAATTTCCTAAACAATATTGTCCCTTTCATAAAAACAATAGTCGTAAAAACATAGACATGTACAATAAAATAGTTGAATATAGTGAAATTATTATCCCACCAACAATAAATATCATCTAAATTTAAAATATAAAATAAAAATTATAATATACATTTTTATAAATATCCATTAAAAAATGTGATTAGATTGAAAAACAGTTTTAAGTATATTATAAATATATTTTTTTAATGTATGAATGATTTTTTAGGGTGATCCAGACGACGATAGTAAAGATTTTCCACCATTGAAGTGTGATTTATGTGGAAATATGTACCCAACACCACAAGAATGGGTACGTCACATACAAACTGAACACACTGAAGAACAATTAGCTCTAATGAATAATTCTGCGCCGCCGAAACCTAAACGAGTTCACAGTCATCAAAAGTTATGTAACATTTGCCAGAAAGTATTTCCAAGTCATGCATCTATGGTAATACATCAGAGGACACATACAGGTGAAAGACCATTTCTCTGTTCCTATTGCAAAAAAGGCTTTAATGTGAAAAGCAACCTTTTGAGGCATTTGAGAACTTTACACGATAAATTCGTGCATCCAAGCTTATATGGAAGTAACGGAAACAAAAATGCTTAAAGAATATTTCAGTATGAAGTAAAGTAATATATTTTTCTTTTAAAAAAAGGAACTAAAAATAAAAAGCTCAATCATAAAACAGTGATTAAGGCAATGAATGCAATTTTGTTGAATTTTCGAGTTGTAAAAATAATGAAACCAGTGGTCTGACGCTTTCAAATAAAATAAAATTTGTAAGCTTTTATCTTAAGCCAAGGTATTGGTAGAAGTTAAATTTGTGTTCGTCTTTATTTATGAATGCATTTTTGATAATTGTATTGCGCTATTAAAATACTTCTTACATGTATAGTTTTATAAACTGTAAAATGATTCATTAATATATGACAAATAAGTATAATAGAGATTTTCTGTTTTTATATTCAGTAAGTATTTTAATCATCAAAATTAATTGTTGGTTATTTAAAACAATACCAAGGTTTTAAAATCAAGGAGTCTGAAAAATATTGCCAAAGTATTTAATTTTATTGCTCCATTGAATAATTCTGTAATGAACATACTAATACCAAAAAATCAATTTATCTTTAAAATTGTAAGTCAAGTGTGAGTGATAATGAGCATATGAGTGATTTTAAAATATCTATAAGTCTACATAAGTACTTGCGTGTAAAATAATTTTTAGATTTAACGCTCATTCAATGAAAAATCTACTTAGTGATTATTCGAGATCCAAATATGTAAGATTTAATTGTATACTTCTAGGCTATTCCACCCGTGGTATAGCCCACTTATTCCCACAGTTCATAAGCTAATTATGTATTTTTATATTAAAGTAGCTTATACATTTAGCTCTTAAGACTAAAGATATATATATATATATATATGTATATATATATATATATATATATATATATAATGATTATTATTCTAAAGGAATTTTGATCTTTAATTAGATTAGGGTAAAAGGAACAAAATATATTCGAAATTTATAAAAAAAATTTTGAAAATATATATTGAGTTCTTATACATTACAAATGCGATACCATAAAAAAAATAATTAAAAAAACGTGGTCACAGTCAATCATGTAGTAAGAATGTACATCATTTTAACTTATTAATCATAACTATGTTATCCTACTACAAAGTTAGTGTCAATTGAATATTGCGCTAATACTGTGACAAGCCAAATGACTTAAATGTAAAATTTCAATATATTATCTTTGAACTACTTGTACATATGCAGTTTTTATTACGCTCATCCTCGCATAATTTTAAAATATGAATTATCAAGTATGCGTTACATAATTCAACAAATTTCTTATTAACATTAGTACGGGTTTAAATTTTAATTCTTTTTTCTTTTTTTCTTTTTCTATAATAAATTATCAGTACAAAATTACAGTCGATTTTGATAGGACAGTTATAATATGGTAATATACTTAATTTTCTTCATCATCATCAATTTTAGGTGCAAGATAATATCGAATATGACCAATATCTCCGATTTGATATTCACATACCAAAGGTACATCTCCAGACATTGACAGTTTCACTTGAGCACAAAGTGGTGTAGCTTTTACAAATGAATTAAGATAGCGACAAGCAAATGTGAGTTTAACAGGTTCTTGCATGTCTATAATAACAGCTTCTTCTTCTTTATCTGCTTCTGCAGTTTGTGCCAGTTTAATATTAGCTATATAAAAAGAAAATTAAAATGAATATTTTTTTAGAGTACGTTGTTAAAATTAGCCAAATTAAGGGATTATTACACAATCATTGATTAAAATTTATGTAATGTTTTTTATTTTCAAAAGAATACAAATTTTGTAATAAAATTGTTGTTAGTGGTTAGCTAAAAGGTATGTTATAAAAATATACTTTTATCAAATTACCATTATTCAATAGCAGATGTTTTAGAAAACTCTTAATATAAGTTTTAAAAAATTTCTTTATTTTTGATTGGCAACATTTTTTTCAATTAAAAATGTACCAAAATATTGCAAATTAATCAAATTAATCATATTTTTATTTTATAATTTTATTTTGAAATCTGAACTTGTTATTTCATTTACAAAACTACATGATCCTGACTTAGAAGTTTTACTATAATTTTTACTTTTTTGGATTCATTGTTTAATAATATTTTGTTAATATGCCGTTTTAAGGAAAGGATTGATTAAATGTAATTTATCTAAAATATACTGTGTAAATAAAATTTTTGCTATCAATTTATTTATCATAATAGAATAACCTCATAAACATAATTTGTTCTTATTTTTACAATGTTCAGCAATATTTGTAGGGTGTAAAATTATAATGAAAATTGAAGAAATTAAAATAAAGTTTTGTTTACGATCAAAATCCTAAGGCATAAAAGATGAATTTAAAAAGAATTGTTATAAATTAAGTTTATAAAATTTTCATTTCTCTTTTTTATTGAAATAATATTCATTTCAATATTCAATAGATAAAATGAAAAATTTTATTTCATATATATTTGATTTTTCACAATAATGCTTCAGTCCACAATGATAATAATATGGAAATGGTCACATTGTATTACAATTTAATTTACACTATATTGATTTGGAAAGCATATTTTCAATTATATACACATGACATACGACTGTAAGGTCAAATATATAATATTTTGATCAAGGAATTTACACTTTCTACAATGTTGATTTTTGTTTAAATCTATGTAATTATTTAGCGCCATCTGCCTTTCAGAGAATTCAAAGTTTTTGATCAGTTTAATTTTAGCTCTTGTGCTTGAAAGATCTCATCGAAAATGTTACAAGTTTCACATTCAACTACATTTACACACAAGGTACGCCGATCATTTTACTTACCATTTCCATAATCTCCAGCTGCGGTGAACTTAATACCTTCTTTAGAACATGCAATTGTAATTGCTTCACCAAACTGACTTAGATCTTTACATATTCTCGCAAACTCTTGGGAGGGCATTTTTACAACACACGAATATACAGTTTCCTAAAACAGCAATAGTTTGACATTAACACCATTGTATAATATCAAATTACTCAAGGATAATTATATAAAAGATATTCACTGGAATCCCAAGATGTTCTTGGTCCATATTAATCAGTTTCATTTCATATTCTGACAATTTCTCTTTATTTTGTGACTCAAATATAAAAATAATATTATCTGGATTATCCCATGCTCTAAGAGTTACTGTATCTTCCGAGCTGGCACATCTCAAAATCTTCGTCATTCTACAAATAATAAAAGTAAGATTATTAACAATCATGTGAAAACAAACTATATGCGAAATTAATAATCCTTCTGTTAAATCAATAATACAATATAAACTTACGTTCCAATATTCATTCCCATAGATAAATTTCTATCGCATCTATACTTATCGAAGCCGTCGCTTCTTAGATTTAGTGATACAAGGGAAACGTGAGCATTGTCCATTGCTTGCACTTGGATACCAGAATCCGAGCACTCGAAGGTCGCCTCGGTGAGGAGATCCTTCACAGCTTCCAAAACTTTCTTAAGAATCGCGCTTTGAGCTAGTCGTGCCTCAAACATGGTTGATTATTTTATATACAAAAATTATTATTAAAAATACGTCGGTAAAACTAAATTACGATAAAAGATACGGAATACAATTCTAGATGTCCCGGTCCTACGGTTTTATTGTTAGAAATGTGTTCTTTGGAGGGAGAAAAGCCCGCGTTCTTCTCTCTTTTGCGCGGGCGAATTATGATCAAAGGATGTAGATGGCATTAATACCGGAAAACATTACTCGCCATATTTTGGATTTTATGTTTAGGATCGGAATTCAAATGACATTTTGTATACACAGGAACAGCAGAAATCTATTTTGCTGATTAGTTTTAAAAACATTAGCCTTTACTAATTGTATTTCTTACGATTTGCTCAATTTAAAATTCCATTATGATTGAAACAGTATTATGTATTTGAATGAAAACGAAGTTTGTCCGTGTTAAATGTTTTCTTGTTTGCAAGATAATTATAAATAAAATTTGTGTCTTTTTTTTTTTATCACTATTCATTAGGTTAATTTATTCAATTTACGTGTTTAATGGTCTGCATTTAATGCTAATACAGTTGTTGAAATATAAATTGTGAAATATTATTTAAAAATTATTGTTTATGTTGATTAACTGAGATGTAAATTAAACTTAAAAAAAAAATATAAGAAAATCTGCATGTTTACGTTTTTATTTTATTATCACTTTATCAGCTTTTGTAACATGTAATTTTGAATTCAGTTTTATTTACAACATTGTCAATATTTTATAGTCTTTTTTTTCTTTTTTTACAAAATATAAAAGTATTATAAATATAAAAATATATGTTTAATAAAAAATAATTAAAAAATAAATATTAAAAAAATTTTTAAATACATTTGCATTGTCATAAATTATACTTATAATTATATCTATGAATAACAAAAATATTAAATACAAATAAATTTAAGCCAAGTAAAAAACGTTTTATACGATGACAGAAATACTAATTTTAAAAACAATATAGTATGCTAATTGTTAATGCAATAAAAGAATAATAATAAAAAAATATATAAATTCTAATAAATTAAAACTATACAGTAAGTAATATATAAAATAAAAAATTTAATTGTGATAAGTATAGAGCGATGTACATATATTAGTAATACATACAAAGAGCGCATATAAGTATAAATTGCGGTTAAAATATGTTACTTTATAAAAGTTGAATGAACATCTATGAAACTCATTATTATGAGTTAATATCTCACAGTATTGAAGTGTACATTATTATATCATATAATACATTTGCAAATACTATTTACAAATTATACTATTAATTGAATTATAAAATTTGGTTTTATCAAAGACAAGATGATTGCAGTATTTATACTTAATTAATTATAATTCAATATCACCAGTAATGTTTTCTAAATCACTGAACATTTTGTCAAGATGCTGTAAAATAACATTAAATTTACTATTAATATATAAATCATGATATTTATGTTCATATAAGCTTTTCTACGATACTTACATCTGATGGAATGTCGTCTTTTGAGGCTACGTTTTTGGAATTTTCGTTTAATGAAGGTTTTAAATTACTTAAATCGTCGTCATAATCGCTATCTTCATCATCCTCATCGCTATCTTGATTGTATATTTCGCCTTCATCATTGTCATCGTCATCATCCTCTTCCATTGACATTTCGTTCATTTCATCATAATCCAAAGGCTCCTCTTTAATTTCAGTTATAAGTATTGTTTCCTCCTGTGTATTCGCTCTAGATGTTGTATCAGAAATTGAAGATATTCGAGGTGGTTGTGAATTCTATGGAAATTAATTAATTATATTAAATATATATATATACTTATGAATTGTAATTATAATTTTCTTTCTGCATAATATATTTCAAATATAAAAAATATTTACTAATGCTTGATTGTGGTTCTGAGTATTTTGGACAAGTTCAATGGAACTAGTTATTGAAGATAATGATTTAGTCGTATTAGTCGAATCATCGTTCAATAATGGATCTTTAACCTCTGTAGTTTTAGGTTCTAATCGTTCATTACTCAAAGAGGTCTTACAATTTTTTTCTTTTTCTTCGCTCAATCGAGTTTCGTTAATTTTCTTATCATTTATCGTGGATATAGTCTTTGCTACTTCATCTTTGTTTTTCTTTGGATTTGATTTTGGTTCTCCAGGAAGACACGTATTACCTCTTTGTCTCCTAAATCTAACAATAATACTTCTGGTATCCCACATCAAATCATGAGCTTGTCTATAAGCTGATATTGATTCATCTACACTATTATATCTTATAAAAGCATACCTAAATAGAAATAAAATTTTAATTTTTTTAATATAACCGTTTTGTTTAATTATACAAAATGTACATATAAATCTATTATTTACCGAGTATTTCGCATTTTTTGAGCATATCCAACATCCACTCTTGCTGCTGTAGGAAATTTGCTCTTTACTTCATTTACATTAACCGATTCTGGTAAATTTCCTATATAAAGTGTATAAGGATCAATTTCCTCTGGTGTAGGATTATCTTCATCTCTTAAAGATTTTCTTTCAACTTTTAAATGTCCTATACCAAATGGAATCTTTCCCAATTCTTTAATGGCTTGATCGATATTAATATTTTCTGCCATTTGTATAAAGCAATACCTTGGCCCACTTGGACTTTGAAAATGTATGTTTTGTATTCCAGGATGAAATTCTCTCACTATATCTTTATTTAAGTCAGGATCAGGAAACTTAATTATTAAACTTTGCGCTTTCACAGTTTTATTATACTCGTTCTCTATTTTTAAAGCTTTCTCTGCATCTTCACGATTCCAAGGACGGCTCGAATAACTTTGTGACATTGGTTTACGTTGTTTGTTCTTCTTAACGACCACTTCTTCCTAAAAATATTGCAAATTTTTTTTATCGTATGTTATAAAAAAGAAAAAACTTTAAGTAATATTTGTAATAATTACCTTAATATCTTGCTCCGTAGATTCTTCGGATCTTCTAGCATTAGCCACTGCTGCGGTCATATGAGGTAATTGATTTTGCATGGGCAACTGCATATGGCTAATTAAAGCTTCATTACTTCTTTGCCATTCTAATCCAAGACTATTTGTTAAAGTTGCTCCAAAATATGATGTTTGGTCAAATTGATTTTGAGCTTGCTCATAACGATGTAATCTTCGATTTTTGCGATGAAAATTACCTCTTTGTTGATATATATTATTTCGATTGTGGTTAAACCTCTCTCGTTTTACATAATTATTTCGTAATGGCATCTCCCTTGGAAATGCAGCTGCCGCTATATCTCTAGGAGTTTGTGGAGGTAACGGAGTAGCCTGCGGAGTTATCCATTGCCATGTATGGGCATGCGGCCAAGCATGAATCTGAGTAACTTGCGTTGGAATAGGTCCAAATACACTAGGTGGGGGTGGTACAGCTCCCTGAGGTGGAGGCATAGGTGGTAAAGGTGGTTGACCGGGCAATGGTTGATTAAGTGATGTGGGTGTGGAAGTACTAGTTGAATAATTAACAAATGAAGTATCGTAACCATAACTGACAGCTTCCTGTTTAACATAAGATGATCCTTTAACTTCTCCATTCTCTTCAACCATCTGAAAAAAAAATCAAAAACATGAAATTTTATAATTCGCTTATACATCAAGAATTACTACTTTGTCATTAGTAACTATATCACTCTGCTGTATTTTAATAAGTATGAAGTAGTCAGATATCTCAAGTGACGATAAAAAAACAAATTTAGTTTATTGATTTAATATGATCGGAAATTGCTTGGAGCTTCAGTTTTTGTTTTCAAAACAAGTCAATACGGTACAAGCGACGCGTTGAAAAACTAACCTAAATTCAAGAAGATACAAAAATTAAATTTTGCATGCTTTGGTTTACAAGCTCGAAGAGTTCAATTTATTAGCAAAAATATTTACCGATCGATTCATACTGACGAACTTCCTCAACGATTAACTTCTGTGCTTTATTTTTCGGCACTTCTTTACCAATAATATAATACTGCCCAAGGATATATAAATATCATATTTGCAAATACAACACGAAAAGAGAATGCACAAACAACAACAACGCAATAGGGGTAGAGTCGTCACCACCACCGACGCGCAGGGATGCCAACGCGGTTCGGATCGGTTTCGTGCACCATCGGCCATTTCCGTGAGAATGCAATTCAACCCCTATAACTTTATTTTATTTTTTAAGCTTGATTTATAATGTCAGAAAAAGAGCTAAATTTTCATTATAATGGTGGCAAATGTATGAATAAGTACAATGCTATTGTGATCAATTAAAAAATGAGCGCTCTTGGTGTATTAAAAGTTGCGTATAATTGATTAGAAAGTCACATATTAAAGTTGTCCTTTTTGGAACTATTAATTCAAAAGAATTTTTGGAAAATTATTTCATAAATTTTTAACCATTTCTAAAATATATTAATCATAAAATATTTATAAAATATGCAACATTTATCATTAAGTATTATATATATATATATATATATATATATATGATATAATAAAAGACAAAATTTTATAAATAGCTAAATAGAATTACATTTTTAAAAATACATAACATCAATTGTTTTCAATGATTCGATAATTTAAAGCTACTGCAGTGACATTGGCTACGAAATGAGAAAAATTTCCAAATCACGCATCTATAATTTATTTAATATTTATCGAATGCTTTTATCATTTCAATTACTAAAATCAATCCATTTTAATTTAATGAATATAAATCAAAACAAATATTAAACAAAAACATGCACTACATTGTTGTCATCTAAAGTATCCAGAGGCTCATCCTTTTTCTCAATATTCATTTATACACGATTTATATATATTTATATCTTTATTTATACACTTATATAAATGCATAATTGCATAAAAATGTGAAAAACTACTTTACTTGACTAATTTGATTTATTTAATCTCAATTATAGTTTTTTATATTTTACTATAAATGTATTTATTTAGACTTCTCAACAAACAACTTCTCAAGGAAAATATTTAAATATAAAATGTAGTTTGCTTAATGTTAAATTTAATAAGTAAAAATATCTTAAATAATGTAATTGATTAGCACGTAATACTCGTACATATCATAATGTACATTTTATTTTTATAATTTATTTCATTTAACATATATTAAATACTATGATTATATAATTATATTGAAATATTAATGACTCGATAATTCAATATATACCTAACGAAATCCATGAAAATTAACTAATGCGATACTAAAAATATTTTTACAAATTTAACCAACGCACATTTGAAATTTTAAAAATATATTTCACGTTCAAGTGAGAGTAATAAAACATTCAAATGGTTTACCGGTTCGATCAGTAATTCTTAATATAAGAATTCAAATATATTGTCTCTATAATATTATTTAATATATTGTATATATTATATATATATATATATATATATATATAATATATACAATATATTAAATAATATTATAGAGACAATATATTTGAATTCTTATATTAAGAATTACTGATCGAACCGGTAAACCATTTGAATGTTTTATTACTCTCACTTGAACGTGAAATATATTTTTAAAATTTCAAATGTGCGTTGGTTAAATTTGTAAAAATATTTTTAGTATCGCATTAGTTAATTTTCATGGATTTCGTTAGGTATATATTGAATTATCGAGTCATTAATATTTCAATTTGATTTTTTATTTGCCAATTTCATTTTCCAAAGTATTATATTTTGTTATCGTACGATTAATAGTGCTATATGTAGCACTAAAAATTATCGAAACAAGCTCATTGTATACGTTGTTTGTTCTTAATGTAATTCGAAATTTTTAATAAAGATTATTTTTTAATTTTTAAATAATTCTTAATAAAGAAGAATTGAGTTAATGTATTGAAAATCATTCCGTTTCTATTATCTTTTTTAAAATAATGTAATTATTAAAAAAAATTGCAATAATTTGCTTGAATTTATTAACCACGGCTGCATCAATATTTTCAATATTTTCATGTAATACATCTCCACGTGCGCGCGCGCGCGCGCGCTTATTTGTTTTTATTACAAATTTATGATTCAAACAATTAACAGTCGTCAATAGATGTGTAATCGTTTTATAATAATGTATCAACGTAAAATGGAATGTTTCTCGCTTGTTACCTCCAAAAAATCCTTCGACTTTTCTAAAATAGGTATTATAATAAAATATCATAATCATTGTCATTATCTTATCTTATACGAATAAGCAATTATAAGCGTTCGGATAGCAGTAAGTTTAAACTGTAAAAGTATTGTAAATGCTAAAGTATCACCGCTACTTTCCGCTACTTTCCGCTACTTTATGCTACTTTATGCTACTTTATGCTACTTTATGCTACTTTATGCTACTTTATGCTACTTTATGCTACTTTATGCTACTTTATGCTACTTTATGCTACTTTATGCTACTTTATGCTACTTTATGCTACTTTATGCTACTTTATGCTACTTTATGCTACTTTATGCTACTTTATGCTACTTTATGCTACTTTATGCTACTTTATGCTACTTTATGCTACTTTATGCTACTTTATGCTACTTTATGCTACTTTATGCTACTTTATGCTACTTTATGCTACTTTATGCTACTTTATGCTACTTTATGCTACTTTATGCTACTTTATGCTACTTTATGCTACTTTATGCTACTTTATGCTACTTTATGCTACTTTATGCTACTTTATGCTACTTTATGCTACTTTATGCTACTTTATGCTACTTTATGCTACTTTATGCTACTTTATGCTACTTTATGCTACTTTATGCTACTTTATGCTACTTTATGCTACTTTATGCTACTTTATGCTACTTTATGCTACTTTATGCTACTTTATGCTACTTTATGCTACTTTATGCTACTTTATGCTACTTTATGCTACTTTATGCTACTTTATGCTACTTTATGCTACTTTATGCTACTTTATGCTACTTTATGCTACTTTATGCTACTTTATGCTACTTTATGCTACTTTATGCTACTTTATGCTACTTTATGCTACTTTATGCTACTTTATGCTACTTTATGCTACTTTATGCTACTTTATGCTACTTTATGCTACTTTATGCTACTTTATGCTACTTTATGCTACTTTATGCTACTTTATGCTACTTTACGCTACTTTACGCTACTTTACGCTACTTTACGCTACTTTACGCTACTTTACGCTACTTTACGCTACTTTACGCTACTTTACGCTACTTTACGCTACTTTACGCTACTTTACGCTACTTTACGCTACTTTACGCTACTTTACGCTACTTTACGCTACTTTACGCTACTTTACGCTACTTTACGCTACTTTACGCTACTTTACGCTACTTTACGCTACTTTACGCTACTTTACGCTACTTTACGCTACTTTACGCTACTTTACGCTACTTTACGCTACTTTACGCTACTTTACGCTACTTTACGCTACTTTACGCTACTTTACGCTACTTTACGCTACTTTACGCTACTTTACGCTACTTTACGCTACTTCCAGCTACTTCCCGTATTCCTTTCAAATTGCCCGCGTACCGCGAAAAGCAAATTAATCGCAGAACGGCGAAAGTGCTTTTGGCTAAAGAAGTTGACTTGCAGCGAGGAATCGCATGCGCAACGGCAACTCGAGCGTATTGGTTCATGCCACGCATTTTTACAAGTACGAAGTCGCTCTGCATTTACAAGTAGGGCGCGAGGGCCAATGGGCTTTGGTTTTTCCATCCTCGACATTGTGTGGCCGATATGCAGTGGAGATAAGTCCGGCGATGCATTTGACGCGCACGCGCTTCGTACTACGGGAAAAGGAAGCGAGCGGCACAATTATGGAGCTACTTTCAATATACGGATGCGGTGGGTAGTTTGGTGGGGGTTAATAATAAAAAGTAAAGAAGAAAAATAGCCACATGCGTTTTAGTCGTCGTGGATGAGGAGAAATTTTTATTGGACTTTATTCGTTTTTATGGAGCGATCCTGGCAGAGAGAGAGAGAAATTGTGATTACGTGTGCTTAGTACGATCGCGAAGAAGAGTATGTATTAGCGATTCAATATCGCAGGTGTTAATCGCTGTATCTACCGCTGTAACGTATGCGTGTATAAGTTGGGTTAGATTATTTGGCTGACTGTGGGTGTCGGCAGATGTCACAAGTGCGGAGAGACTTGGTGACGGAAGTTTCGTCCTCGCGTGTGCAAAATTTTCATCATTTGTGTATACTTTCCTCACTTATTGGATAAAATTGATTCGCATTATGGCTACGAATACTCAGGAGGAGGTTGAGGTATGTGTCTGCTGTTATTATACAACGAGTTTTTTACGAATGTTAAGGCCTAGGTCTTCGTCGAGCACGACCTCGTTTATATATATATATATATATATATATATTTTCTTTTTTTCTTTTTTCTTTATATATATATATATATATATATATAAAAAAATACCTTTCACCAGTTCGTACCAGCGAGAGAGACGGAGGAAGATCTCGTTTTCGGAATATCTGGTACGATTAGGTTTTGCTTGTTCTGTCGTAATCGCCCTCATTTACCAAATGATTTATTAAAAAGACCTATTTTATTATTTTATTATCCATCTATAATGAGAACAGAGAAATTACTTAATAACAAGTATATCTTATCGGGCAGTTTGTCACGTAACCGCGAGGATTCGTTATTATAACTATTTTACATTTGTTGACAGTGCCTTATAGGAATTTCGATGAAGGTATCATTAATAGAGGTTCCGGAACATTTTTTTAAAGCACACATTTTCTAATAAAAGTTAATCGATAGGATTATGATTTTTCTGAATTTTTAATGTCAATTTAGAAATATATTTTAGTTTGTTTTCTTTTTCTTTTTCCTTTCACCGCAGTTTTTGATTAGTTTACATATTTAAATGAAATACGTCGATTGCAAATCGAACGCCTTACTTTATATCGATCATTTATGAGTGACTTTGAATTTGTGAATTTGATCTCGCTATTAATTCGTTCGCGCAATATTATTAAAAAAAATAATAAAAAAAAAAAAAACATTACAAGAAGCATTAATGTCTAGCATACAATTTGCTTAAAAAAGAATTTATTTTAATTAAAGTATAAAGCTTCCTACAATTTTACAAAGTTCGATTCAGCGCGCAGCATAAGGATTTACTGCATAGTTAAAATCAAAACTTAATTTCTGTATTCTATATTACATACCTAATAAGTGTATTTGCGCGCGTGTGGGTGTATGCGCGCGTTGGTGTTTGTGTAAAAAGAGAAAAAGATATTGAATCCAATATTAATTCGCATCTAGATCCGCTAGATGAGCGACCGTGCGACTTGTACCTCGATAATCCTAAAAGAATGAATGAAAAAATGAAACGTCAGTTAGGTAGAAAGGCTGAAATCTCCATCTGAAATCTGAAAGAAATCTCCATCCACCATAAAATTCGGGTCCTATTAAATAACAGGCATAACAGGCGATTAAATAGATTTATAAAAAGCGCGCTATAAATTGTTAACTTTGCTCCATAATTCGGCGGTAGCGCTAAAGTGAATCTCGCGTACGGTAATATACGTCCGGCCTCTCACGTAAAAAACGTGAGACATAACGCTCACGTTGATGGCGCTTCACTGCTTCCTTTTAACCAGGCGCTTTGCCTTCAAATGGGCATGTAATGTGTAAGCCAGTGCCGGTCCCAAGTCTTGATTCGCTTCGAAGTCATTTAACATTGGAAGAGATAATAAAGCTCCGTTTACGGGTGCGGGCGGTACCAGTTTATTCGGACAATTATGGTGAGAATTCGCCGCTCTGTCGGCTGCACACATTCTTGAAAGGCTGTTAAAATTTGCATCACGTTTTCTTCCTGCGTGTATCTTCATCTCATCTCATCGGACTTTTACCGATCATCGGGCTCAGCCCTACACAGCTGTCTAATCTTTACCAGGAATACCATTTTGACAAAAATGCTTGCCGTGCAGACCATACAGGGAGCGACAGTTAGCCCATTGGTATAAATATTTTATTTCAACAGCCATTAAATTTATTTTAGATTTTACTTATTCGACTATCTCGATCGCTACTTTTTCAAACTCTAGTACACAATGTTCGATCAAATTTTTGCGACTTTTGTCAAGTTTTTAATATTCATTGTTGCAGGAAGTAGAGAAAATGGAGCCCGAGGCATCCAATTTAGAGGAGTTTCCACCCGAGCTATTGATAAAGCATCCGTTACAGCATACATGGACGCTATGGTATTATGAGCCAGAACATAGTAAGGTGTGGCAAGATCGTCAACGTGAAGTTACAAGTTTTGATACGGCCGAAGATTTCTGGAGGTAAAATATATTTTCTTCATATATTGAATGATGCGCTATCATCTTGGTAGCTTACTAAAACTATACCAATAAAGAGAAAATTTTATAGAGTGAAATTTAACTTCATTTCGTGCATATATACAAAAATGATATTTTTATAATTTTTACGTTTTCATTCGGTTTAACTTCAGCATCGTTCATAATAATATATATTTTGGCATAATATTTTACAAAAAGAATCATTTACTTTATAATTTATAACTCAAAGTGTTTTTAAATAACTATAATCATATCCGCAGTTTATATAACCATATGAAACAAGCATCGGAACTGAGGATAGGCAATGATTATAGTATGTTCAAACAAGGTATTCAACCAATGTGGGAAGACGACGCTAACAAACACGGTGGAAGATGGTTAATTAATTTAGATAGAAAACAGAGATTAACTGAATTAGATCGTTTTTGGCTGGAAACTTTACTTTGTATGATTGGTGAAGGTTTCAATGCATACTCAGATGATGTTTGCGGAGCGGTAGTTAATATTAGGATGAAGCAAGATAAAATAGCTGTGTGGACAGCAAATGCGTCTAATCAGTCGAGTGTTATGGAAATTGGGTAATTTATTTATGTAAAACTATTTTGTTTCAAGAATAAGCTTAAAATATGATGACAACGATAAATTTTGTAAGAAAATTTAAAGTAAGAATAATTAATATTCTTTGAGACATAACAAAATAATTTATTTTATTTAAATAATTGAAATAATTATTTATGTAATGAATTCTCTTCAAACTTTAAAATATTAATACGTTATTATATTATATATCATATTTTATATTTATTAATTCATAGTCAACTAAATTTAAATGGTATTTTTTCGAAAAACTATTAGCATCTAATTGTGTAATTATTAAAGGAATTTTTTTGTTTTAGACGAAAATTGAAAGAGCGATTAAGGATTCCACCTTCTATCATAATAGGATATCAGGCACATAAGGATAATAAGAATAAACCAGGCAGTGTAATTAAAAATATTTACACAATTTAAAGTGAAAGTGCACTATTATTACATCTTTATTTGTATTACGTTTTATGGATCGTAAAATTCCCAATTTCTGTCTGAGACCACACGCTGACAGACACAAAATCCAGAAATAAGTGGTTTTTCCTATCGTTATTAATTAAACTTTTTGAAAAAGTGTCAAACAAAGTTTAATAAAACATTAAAGTTATTAAAACTAATTGCTGAATGATGGATTAAAATAAAAAAAATGTACGGATATGTAATATGTACAATATACTTTAGTATGTTTCATGGGATAAAACAGATTGCTGCATTATTAACATCATCAAATAAATATAACAAACTGTTTCGATTTGACATCTGTATTAATTCATTATACAAGTGCAGCAAAATGACAATACTATTGTTATGCGCATACTACATTAACGATTAGATTTACTAAACATCCATTTTCATAAAAGTTATGTAATTCAGTTTTTTATGTAAGGTACATTAGAGAGTACTGCGAATAAATATACTTCTTTGTATAATTAAGACTCATTTTTTTTTTTAATTTACTATTTAAAATAGGTTTTCAACTTCAATATAAAAATTCACGTTTTAAAAATTTCTATTATTTAAAAATTAAAATTTTTAAATAAAATGGATTCTGTGACAACTTTTTAAGAATGACAAGAAATTATATCATGTAAGATTTTTAGGATTACTATAATTTATAAATTATATTCAACAAGTATTTTTTCAATAATTTCTTTAAGATCTTTGCGCCTAGATAATTGTAAAGCTTGTAATAAATCAGTTTTCCATGTTTGGGGATATTCTGAGAAATATAAACGAAGAGCCTGAAAAATTAATGAATTGTAAATACATAAAGATTCTTTAGTATTATATCAAAGTTACCTGTTCAAACATTTTACTGAAACTCATTGTTTCGTTAAAATATTTCATTTCTATTTCTTCTATTATTGATTCTTCAAAATTTAATCGTCTACACACATCTGCCCAATATTTACCTATTTTTTTGCTTACTTTATTTATAACTGAAACGTAATGAAATATATATTGTTTTACCATCGTCTTAAATTTATACTTACGTAATTTGTAAAAGAAGTGTTATTTGAATGTTAATTTTAAAATAAAGATTTTTAATAAAATATCGTACTTAAAACATAACTTATTCTTTATTAATAAAATAAGCAATTTTGTGATACTATACTTATACATAAGTAATGAGAAAGATAAAAATTTCTTTTAAACTAACTTACTTAATTCTTGTATTATATTTTCATTATTTATGTGAGACGATGTAGATTTACAATATTGTCTTCCAGATGTCTCATTATTTGAGTAGGATGATGGCTGGATTGCTATTAATAATTACAATATTTCACAAAAATATCATTAAAATGATTTATTAAAGGTATCTTTAAAATGAAAGACATAATTATAGGCTTTTGAAACTATATTTACATACTTTTACTAAACTGTAAAATACGTTAAAGAAAGGTTAAATAAGTTATTATTTATAACTTATAAATAAAAACTATATTTCATATTTGAATGAGAAATGTTTTTCAGGCAAATTAAATTTTGTTTTGATTAAAAAAATAGTACGGCTTACCATAATTGTAAAAATTGTTTATTTTAGAAGTGTTTTGTTCTAGCCACTGTTCATAATCTGTGATTAATTTTTCAATATTTTTTTTATCCACAAAGTGTTGTGTTATATATTTTAAAATATTAATTTTATCATATTGTAAAATTCCACGTTTTTCTAATATTTTTAATAAACTATTAATGTCAATAATTTGGTCTAGCACACGTTTAGAATTTATTATATCTTTGTATTCTTCTTTTAACTTATTGAGAATCACGCAGTTAACATATGGATGTGAAATTTCTTTGAATTTATTAATAAATTCTGTGTAAATTTCCATCTATATAGTTATTTGATGAGAATAATGTAAAGTTGTATTCAAAATTAAGGTATATTTTCGAAAATAAATCGAGTAACTTAATTTAATTAATACTCAATACAAAATTTAGTATTGTTATAAAAAATATTCTATCGAGAAGATAATGTATCACTTTTTATGTAAAAATTTATTACATTCAAAACATGCTTAAATATTTTTATATCCAATCGAGCAGTTTCGTATTTTCAAAAAACTATCTTATTTTTAAGTAGTAAAAAAATCTTTTTTGTACTATAAAGAAAATATCGAATATTTCATATGTATATAAGAAAAATATATTATGTATATATATATATATATAAATTAAATACTCGTTATAGATGAAAGGAATTGTCATTATAAATAGATATAAAATTTTCTGTAAATAGAAATATGTAATCATTTTTATAAAACTATCAGTTATAAATTATATATCTAGTGCCGTGTCATCGGCACATTATAAATTCTTCATAAATTTAATTGGTCATAAAAGTTTGAGTATAGTTTAAACTTAATCATTCCGAGAAGTGGGATTTCTACAAAATAAATATAGATCTGCATGTATAAAATTCTTCAATTAAACGGCAGAAAATGAAAAACATGGATAACGACCCAAGAGTAAAAAGAATATAAATTTTAAAGATTTTCTAACCAAATATTTAAATTATATATAAGATGGAAGTTACTCGCTTAATAACCGAATGAATAAATACATAAATAAATGAATATATATTCTTTATATAGTTATTTAAATATCTGTCCAATTGCTTTGCTAAATAAATATTGTAGGATTTTTTAATTTGAGCTGTGAATAAGCAAGTATTTAGGGATCTTCTGGAATTTTTGCCTCACATTATGTATTTCTATTCATTGATCTATGTAATTTTTACGATGAATTTAGCATCTTTTACACATTATTAAAGTAGTTGCGTAGGTTAATAACCGTTTTTGTCTAATAATATCTAATTATTATCCATCCGTTTCAGGAGTTAATTCAACAAAGTTAAAATATTTAGTTCATATAGTTACTTTCCACTTAGCTACCGAATGCTCAAAGATTATTATATTAATTGCATGCATTATTTTGAAGCTTTTGTCTTAATTAATTGTCCATTTATTTGTATTTATTCTTAATCAAAATTTGTTTGGTACATCAAAATGTCGCGCCTGTTTATATTATTATCTCTATTATGGAAATGTATAGGATTTTTATTACTTATGTGTGTATCATAATACATTCACTTTCAGTGTTTCTCAAATCTTAATTATAACCCGCGAATAATCTTAATTTTAAATTACAAATTCGGTATTTGAAGTTTACTTGATTTTTTAATAAATATTGTGTTGTTCATTGTTAGTATTATTATTCAAAATAATCGTCAAAAATAAAGTTATACGAATTCATCAACAAAATCATAAAACATAACTGTAAGGTTCTAAAATATAAGTTCTAGAAGAAATAAATCATGACAAGTCTGTCCTTTTGCTAGGATAGGATTTGCGATTCCTAAGAATTTCTATCCGAAGTAGGTCTTTTATTGTAAGGGTATATTAATAAATTTTTGTCACTTGTTATCTGTAGATACTTTTAAAATCTACGGGAGGGCGACCGACGAACGAACAGCTGCTTACCTGAAAGGAGATGGTATAAATCTCATGCACATAATTTCATTCTAAGCCGACCACCAACTTTTATGATTGGACAACGGACATCGAAGTGACTTGACTCTGAAGCAGCTAGATTATACTCTAAAGTTAACAAGATAGATCGAATCGAATATGAAATGTCTGAATTGTATGATCGTAGCTAAGAGAAAGGACGTTTTTGGTTTTGAAGTAAATTGTAAGATCTTAACGTCATATTTTCAAGTTCAAATACTTTAAATTTATTTGAAGATACTCTTTTAATTGGTTTTCCTTTAATCATGCTCGTGCTTTACGTCTGATTTCGTCATGTAAACAATAAAACGTTACGTATTTTTTTATACTATAAAAATGTCGATGAAGCGGGCATTTTAAATTTCTTCATTTTAAATAACTGTTGGAATGTTTTCTAAGTTAACTAAAACCGATGTAAATATAGATTTAAGTAAAGTGTCGAGTTACTTTTGTACAATCGAAATATTCAAAATTGTATTAAAATTATATACATACTTGAATTAATTTTAATGATAAATGCAAAAGTTATTATCCTACCACGTATATATATATGGATATATTAAAATAAATGTAATGATTGACGAATGCGCCTACATGGGTTACACAATCTGACTCCTTGCATTAATAATACATTAAATGCATTTAAAAAACAAGAGAGAGAGAGAGAGAGAGAGAGAATGAGAGAGCTCGAACGAAAGAGTATATATATGATTGAAAGAGAGGGAGAGAAAGAGGGAGAGAGAGAGAGAGTAGTATTAGTATGTATATTTGCATTAATTTTCCATACAATTTTGTTTTGCTTCGAAAATGTTGATTACTGATTTCGATTGTATGTTTTTCCAATTAGTCAGAGCATAACTCTGTTGTAATGTTTATATTTCTTATCGATAAGAAATGTATGAATATGACATATATCCTACGATAACTATTTATTATGTATGCTTGCAAATTCGCACGTCTCAATTTAAAATTTGCTAAATGCGTAATGGAATTATACCCAACTTCGCATGAGCGCTAAAGCTGTAAAAGCGCAATAGCATTAAATTTCAAACTCGATGGATTGTTTGTAACACATATATAAAAAGTGTGATTGTAATAATAGAATTTTTAAAATTTGTATTTGTTTACATCCGATTATTAACTGTATCAACTCTGTAAAACTTACGAATATTTTTAATAGCATCTTGTATAACGCAAATTGTGTTCCTCATAACCAAAAAACAAAGTATATACATATATATACATATATATATATATATAAGAATGTATTAAAGAAAAAGAAAAATTGTAATTGCGCTGACACATTCTACCTGTTATAAAAATCATTATATGATAATTTTTTTCAATAATTTTAAATATCGAAGTTCAATTATAATATTTAAACGATTAACTATATTGTTGTTGCAACAGCCAGGCTTTTGTCTTTATATGACACACATAATTTTTACAAACCATTATCTATGAATT